TGAGGGGTGGGAAGGACACTGTGATTTGCCCTAACTGACCTCCCTAGAGATGGTCCCAGACCCCACAGTCCACTTAGAACAACCCCACCTCCAAGCTTTTGCCATCCTAAATTCTTAACCAAATCATATCCATCTCTTCTTCTAAAACCTGTTTCCAAGCTAACCCCTTCCTGGAAGCCTTAGAACATATAACTTTAGAGTTGGGAGGAACTTCAGAGATCATTACATGTTCATTTTGCAGTGAAGGAAGCTAAGTCTCCTAGAGTGGAGGGTCTTGCCCAAGCTTAAACAGGTTAATGACAGATCTGAGACTAGAATTCAGGTCTTTAGACATCTAGGCTGGGGCTCCTTCCACCACTACCATGCTATAGCCTGCCTACCCACCTATCCACCTCAGACCACTTTGTGAGCCCTCCTCTGACTGCAAGACTTGACAGGGGTGGTCCATACTCAGACTAAACGATACTCCTTTTCATCTGCTTGGAGTTTCCTTCGTTAGTAAACCATGCATTCTATGAAGCAGAGGAGCAACTCTGGCTCAGCTGCTGTTAAGACCTGAAGTTTCTTTCTGGAATGGTAATGAGGTGTGGTGTTGGGCCTTATTCCTCCCGGGCAGTCCATAGACCAATGACTCAATTGCCTTCCTGCCCCAGGCTTCTATCTCCCTATGACTATGCTAACCTAGCAAGGTCTTCTCTAATTTCCCAACCTCACTCCGACTCCCCAAATTGCTTCGGTTCTAGGTGAAATGATTCCTAGGTAGAACTCTGCTGCCTAATCAGCTAATAATCACCTCTAACCACCCCAAGGATGTGACTGAAGAAGTGAAAAATAGAGTGAGAAGGAGCTGCTTCCACTCTAGTAATCCTCCATGCCCAAGGAAGAAGTCAGAGGCTGAATCCTTGGACACCACCCTGACTCAGCCAGCTGGGCATAGGCTGGTCTCTGGATGACTTCTCCTTTCCCCACTCTTTCAGAGAGAAGTCCACGAACCTCAGAAATCATACATGCTAGGAGACTCTGGTTCATACATAGATCCCAGTCAAGCTGAGTATTTATTATGCATGTACAATGTGCCAGGGATTCTGCGAGGCCGGAGAAACAAAGATTGAAGGAAACAATGGTTGACATCAAAGAACTTGCATTCTGCTGAACGTAAAACAGTTGGGCCTCTCCTCATGGGGCCCAATGTTTTATTTTGCACTAAGGGTTATGGTAAGGGTTACAACAACAGGGGTTCAGTCAGTCCCTTCTACATATGAAGCCCCATCTCAAGCTGGGCTCTAAGTACAACAGATGTAATCAGGTCTTCACCCAAACATCTTGCTTGCGGTAACACAAAGAAGAAGAAGAAGACAAGGCCCTCCACCATCCAGGAATTGTTGTTGATTGTTCTGACCTATGAGAAGTGCTCTCCCACAGATAGCCCTACTTCTCAGAGTTGTAGGGCCAGACAGTGAGAGTGCTGCCATTTCAGAGTCCAAATATATGAGTCCAACCACCTCAGCTTAGAAAGGGAATCAATCTAAGGAGAAAAATCCAGATCAGAGACTCATAGTTCCAAACTGCTTCTCTCCCCCTGCGCCCAAGGCCCAGTTCTGATCACCTGGATTCTTAGCCTGTCTACACAAAGGAGAAGGGGAATAGAGGGACAGGTTGTTCTGAAACTAGGAATCCTAACAGTTAAGGACATAGGGGAAAGGTATCAAATTGTACCTAGATCCGGTAAGGAGAGCTTAATTATAAAAGAAGTATTACTTCTTTCAGGAACTTTGGACCAGTAGGTTCTAAAAATAGTGATGAAGCTCATTAAATTCTAATTGAAGAAATCACATACACACACACATATACACACTCCCCTCCCCCCCCATTTATCAATCTAGGTCAATGGATGATTTAGCTGGGGATTTAAACCCAGCTCTTCTGGGTTTCTTCTCCAAATTAAGTGCTCTTTCCACTATACTACATTGCCTCCTGGACACCATGAAATTAACTGGGAAGAGAATGTTCCCCAAAGGTCTAGAGTGCCCATAACACCCGAGTTGATCTTAGATGGGCTTGGGACAAAGGCCCTGGCATTGGGTCACTCATGTAGTGATCAAGAGAGCTCCTTGCCATCAGGAGAGACCCCTACTGGGGAGAAAGGGAGTAGGTAGGCAGGATGATGGATATGGGACACAGAGAGCACATAAATGCTGGGAATTTGGAGGGGGTGCTGAGGTCACATGGATGCCATACCTTCCGGGGCCATGCAGACTCTCCCACACATTCTCTTACGGCACTTCAGGGGGTCTTTGCACTGCCCATCTTTCTCACAGGTGCTTGGGGGCTGTTCATGTGGCACCTCCCATTTGGACACTTTCCTGTCTTTGATGAAGCTGGAGAGAGAAAGCTGGACGAGTTAAAAGAGGCTTCCCCAGAGGCAGGGGCATGCTGGTAAATGTTTAACAACAGGCTTGGGGGTAAGGGTATACTAGACATGCTTTTAAGTATAATCTGCATTATTAACATTTTCTTTATCACTTTCTTAAGTTTGGATAAATCAACAAAACTAATTCAAACCCTAGTTTATAGCATTGCTTATTTCTGAGGCTCAGTGGATAGAACACTAGGCCTGGAGTCAGGAAGTCCTGAGTTCAAATCTGGCCTCAGTTACTAGCAGTGTGACTCTGGGTGAATAATCTAACCCTATTTACCTCAGTTTCCTCATCTGTAAAATGAGCTGGAGAAGGAAATGGCAAATCACGCCAGTGTCTTTGCCAAGAAAACCCAAAATGGGATCATAAAGACTCAGACATGGCTGAAAACAACTGAACAACAACAACAGCACTCATAACGAAAATTTACAATCCAGTCTCTCATGCTGACTCTAGCACTGTCCCTCTCTGGGTCCAGGGGACTTGTCCCAGTTCCCAACCTGTTGAGGTGGAATCCTTGGCCTCCCTCTCTATCCCAAACAGAATTGAGTACTAGAGTACCTTTCCTAAAGGTATGAGGTCTGATCATGTGACTCCCCCACCCCCTCAGTAAAGCCCAATGGCTCCCAATTGCCCCTAAAATGATATATAAGCACCTCTGCTTGAACATTTAAATGCTTTCCACAACCTGGCCCTTTCCTACATTTTCAGGCTTATTCTTTACTCCTCTCCTTCTGCTCTGGGGTCTAGCCGTGTCAGCCTTCTCCTTGGTCCGTGTGTATAACACTGCACAAGACACAACACAAATCTCCCATCTCCAAGCCTTTGCGCCTTCTCCTCACCCTCACCTTTTGGAATCGCTGGTTTCCAATAAGACTCAACTCAAGTGGCACCTTCTACATGAAGCCTTTCCTGACCACCTCTGCTGCTAGTGTAGCTTTCCCCAAACTACCTTGCATCCATTTTAGATATACTCTGCACATACTTTTAAGTGTAATTGTTGTCTTTCCCATCAGAATATGAGTTTTTTGAGGTCAGGCTCAGTTCTACCTTCCTCCCTGTTCTCTCCAGTGCTTAGTATAAAGCCTGACACATAGTAAAAAATAACCCATTGATTGATTGGTTGGTTGACTATGGTTCATGCCCTTGAGTCTGGTCTGTCTTTGCCTCCTTGGCCTCCCCAGTCCCAGATGCCTTCCCAACCTCACCCTCCAGTACTCCTGACCTCTCTTCTCCCTAGCCCTAAAGCTGATCTGTCCTTCTCTCCTACTTCATCTCCTCAGTCCCAGAGGCCTTCCCTACCTTGTCCTCTCTGGGACTAGTCAGCGGCTCTTCTTTTCAGTCTTTAATCTCTTCAGGGCTCACACACCTGAATCCACAGTAATAATATTTCTGCCTCTTTGGGCACTGCCCAGCACTGTGGGTGGCACTGATTGGTTTCAGCAAGAAGACAACAGAAAGGAGGTGTGGGGTAGGTCTCTGCTTTGTTGGCTCTTGGAGAAAGAGGTCAAAAGGGTGAAGATGTAGATGAAGCCTGAGTTCCTATGGAGAAGGAGCCTGAACTCCTAAGGCAGATGAAAGAGCTCTCACACAGGGACCTGTCACCAAGAATCCAAACATCTCTCTAATTACCATCGTGCCTTTGGGTAAGTTACCTCTCCATCCTGTTTCTCCTATTGCAACGGGGTTGGACTAGATGTTCTCTAAGATTCAAGCCAGCTCTAAATCCTATGATCTTCAGGTTAGGGGAAGGTACCAGGAAGGAAGAGGCCCTGGTAGAAGAGGGGCTGAGTGCAGCTTGACCTCAAACAGGGAAGAGTCATTATGCAGGAGGATGGGCTAGTCCTTCCAGGCAGGAACACTAATTGGCTAGAAGGAGAGACAACAGATGGACAATGAGGCATTCACTCAGTGAATAAGTATGAGACAAAGACAAAGGAGAGAGAGAGAGAGAGAGAGAGAGAGAGAGAGAGAGAGAAACTAGCTCTGTCTTTGCTGCAACCAGTAAGGGCAGAACATGGGCAATTCATCAGGATGACCCCAGGGCTCTTCCCTAACAGCCTAGGTCATAGTTTGGTAAGGTTGAGCAGTCTCTAGGGCACTTCCTTCCAAATCCAGGTTCCACCTGAGGTGCCAAATTTCCATCCTGCTTGGTGGGCTGACCAGAGAATATCCATCTCTGGGCCCCGAGAATTAACCCCCAGAGCTCCCACCTCCTGCCCTTTTATCTAACATCAATTCTCTCTGGTCTCAGGCAACCTGACATAGCTAACATCTGGAGCCCAACACAGTACACATCTAGAGTACATCACCATCCCCCCCCTTCCTAGAAGGAAATCTAATATCCTGCTTCTGACCCCAGTAGCCTCTGAGACTGAAGCTCTTCTCTTTAGTGGCTGGTCTCTCCTTCCTATTTTTCAGTCTGTACCCACAAGCCTGTCCATTCACTCCCTGGATGCTGCTCCAATGAGGGCTCCATGAGAAGCCCTGACTATAGCCATCCCTACCTGGGAGAGGCCTCCTTAGCCCCCAGGTACTTGCAGCTTCCCTCCCCTCCCTGCCCCAGCACCAGAGCCTCCTCACCTGGGTCCTTTGTTCCGCTGGGCTCCACACACTTGAAACCACAATGATAATAACAGCATTTCTGCCCTCGAGGGCACTGCTTATCATAGTTGCACTGTGGAGGATCTGCCTTAAAACAGCGAACATTGTCTAGGGGGCAGCTCCCTGCCCTCACTTTACCTGGAGAAGGAAGTCAAAGGTTGGACTATGGGGCCTAGGCCTGAGCTCCCATCTTTGTCCACAGACACAGAAGCCAGACTCTTAGGAGAGGAGGGATATTCCACTCTTACATAGGTGGAATATCTCCTAGAATCCAGACTCACCCATTTACTGTCTCTGTGGCCAGTACCTTCTCCACTTTGGCCTTCTCTTTCCTTTTCTATAAAATGAGAAATTTGAACTAAATGCTCTCCAAGATTCCTCTCATCTCTAAATTTTATAATCTTTTGAGCTGCGGGAAGGCTCTGGGACATGAATTGGGAAGGCAGTGTGGATACAGGTTAGGAGGGGAGGTTCTGTGAGCAAGAGACAGCTCACCTAACCCTGAGCAGGGAGGAGTCACTATTTTAATAATACAGGAAGGAAAGTCAGGATTTCCAAAGAGCCACAAAAGGGAAAGATGCAAAGAAGCATCACAGAAGACAGAAAAAAAGGGGTGATATGATAGCTCCCAATCCTGTGGAACCATAAAGTTTATAAAGGGCTTTTCCCACAACTACCCTGTTAGGTAGTCCCTAAAAAGCATTGTTATCCCATTTTGTAGATGACACACTGAGACTCAGAGAAGTTAGGTAACTTATATAAATAGGTAAGAGAACAAGAATTTGAACTCGGATCTCTTAATTCAAAGAACAAATCCCAGAAAAAGGCAGAACCAGAATGACAATGGCAAAAAAAAAATCTCAGGGACAGAGAAAGAGTCATCAACAAAGGATGAAATAAGAGGATGAGAAGAGAGAGAAAGAATGATGGAAAGAGAGAATGAACTAGGGAGTAAGAAAAAGAGAAAGAAACAGAAAGAGATGGAGGAAAAAACTGAGAGAATATGATTGAGACAAAGGATGAGGAAGAGACAGAGTGTCAGAATGAGACTCAGACAGACATACAGAATACAACAATGAAGCTTTTGGATCCTGGACCCTTAGAAACTTCTCAAACAGCATCTCTGCTTAGGAATTGGGGGATGTGGGTAAGAAGACTGTGATGGGGTGGAAGGGAATGTTGGAATTTTCTGTCTTTGTCCACAGCATCCAGAGGGCCAAAGCTCCCTACCCTGGGAAGCTCAGTCTTATGGAGGCAGAGGGAGTCCTTAATCTTCCAACCTGCAGACTAGCCCTGGCCCTGATCTCACCTATTTTGGCAGCATTCGGGCTCCCGGAAGATGTCAGGAACATAAGGGCAAGGAATGCCAGGAAGAAGAAGGGGCTCCCGGACTTCATGATGAGGGCTGGGGCCATTGAGGTGACTGATGGAACGACCTGGCATTTATAGCTAATCCAATAGGTGCAGTCCCAGGAGAATTGCCTCAGTAATTATATTAATTCTTTTGGGGTGGGGTTGCACAAACAAAGCGCTGACCTGAATTATATTTTGCTGACTTTCAAAAATGCTGATAACCACTTTCCTTTTCCCTGGAGGTGACCTTGAGGTCCCAAAGAGAAGGGATGGGCCTAGTGGGGAAGGGATGTGTAAGAGAAAAGGGTTATCCATCAAGTTCAATAATGTGAATGCAAAATATTCATATTTCTAGAGTGCTTTATAGTTCAAGGCACTTTATTAAAGCACACTTTTGAGTCTGAAGTCAGAGAATCTGGGTTTGAACTATGTGACCCTGATTAAACTTCCTCTCTCTGGGCCTCAGTCGCCTAATCTGTAAAAGTCACTTTCAGCTCTAAAATAATGATTCTTTGATTTCTAAAGTTCCTCCCAGTTGTCCATCCATGATCCTATGATCTCTGATTCCTCCCAAACCTAAATTCTGTGCTCCTATGGTAAACTAGAAGAGGCCTTGTTCTAAGTCTCATGTATGTGGTGAGGGTTGCAAGTTAGGAGTTAGGGGTCGTGGAATTTGGCAAAGAAGCTGTTTAGAACTGAACCTGAAGCCATGGTACTTCATACGCGCTTGTAGATTGATCAGGCATATATATAGTACTTCTCTCGCACAATTACTCCTGACCTTGCTGGTGTTGTGATACCCTGCTGTTGGGTTTTTCAACCCCCTCTCCCACACCTAAACTTGGGTCAAGTAGTGGAATGAATGCTCTTCCTCTGGGAGCCCAGACTTGGGGTCTAATCTTGTCTCTGCCATTAACTTACTGTGTGACATTGCCACATCAATTAATTACTTTGGTCTTCAATTGTCCCATTTACCACACTGGAATAATAACACCTCCACTGCCTACTTAATAGAGCTATGAGTGTGAAGGATGGCTATGAAAGCTTTTAAATAAGGCTTATGAAACTGACCTGCTTCCTAAAATGTCCAAAGTGATCAACAGAAGTTCAGGGAAAGCTGGACATGGTACAAGAGAAATCATGGGACTGTATGAGGCATTGAAGGATTTCAAAGTAAGACTGATCCAAGCCAGACTAAATTGGACTGTGTACCTGTACTAGGTATCAGTAATAACTAAGCTATATGCAGTTGATTGCATGCCTATTCCTTTTGCCACACACTAAATGGGGCCTTCCATAGTAACAAAGAAAAACAGTAAAGCAAAAAGTTAAATTAAATTAAAGTTAATGCTTGGCCTGGAAGATTGTTGCAACTGATATCTTGTGATGGAAGAAGAGGGCCTGCCTGACCCCTAAGAAACAGATATTACAAGAATGCCTATCAATTGGAGAATGGCTGAATAAGTTGTGGTATATGATTGTGATTGAATACTACAGTACTATAAGAAATAATGAACTCAATGATTTTAGAAAAACATAGAAAGATTTACACAAAATAATGAAGTGAAATGAGCAGAACCAAGAGAACATCATATACAGAAACAGCAACATTGTTTTAATAATGACTTTGAGTGAATAACTTGTTTTGACTGTTATAAATACCCAGATTAACTATAAAGGACATATGAAGAAAGATGCTATCTACATCCGGAGAAAGAATTGATAAATAGAAGTATGTGTAGAACAATTTTACATACATATATTATATATTATATTTTTGTGTCTAATGGTAGCCATCTTAGGGTGAGGGGAGGAAAAAAAGGGGAAAAAGGAAATTTATATGATTTGTTATATATTTGAAAGGAATAGCAAATTGTGCATAATAGATTTGCAGTTTCATTATGCAATCATCTTTTTTATTGTACTATGTTATGGAAATGCTTGTTTTATTCCATAAATTAAAATTTTTAAAAATTCAATTTAAAAAAAAAAAAGGAAGAGACACCAGGAGCTGTACTTTATATAGCCAGGTGAGGGTATTGGTCCTGTGTGTTTGCCTGAGCAAACACACCAAACTCCACCTCTCACTGCTACTTGCTCATTTCTTTATCAAGTGTTTTTCCAGGTCCACAAAATCTAATGGGTATCAAGATCTCAGAGTTTACTAAAATTTTAGAAAATCGCTACTTGGTTCACTTATAACTACGAAACAAACTAGGGAGAATCTCCTCTCCTTTTGGGATTAGATTCACATAGTTGTTCTTGTTGTTTGATCATGTCTGACTCTTTGTGACCCTATTTGGGGTTTTCTTGGCAAAGATACTGGAGTGGTTTGCCATTTTCTTCTCCAGCTCATTTTACAGATGAGGAAACCGAGGCAAACAGAGTTAAGTGACTTGCCCAGGGTCATATAGCTAGTAAGTGTTTAGGCCAGATTTGAACTCAGGAAGATGAGTCTTTCTGACTTCAGGCCTGGCCCTCTATGCGCTGTGGCACCACCTAGCTGACTTTAGATTCCCCTATTCCAATCACACCTATAGGCTCAGACAAAGATCATTTTCAATGGCTGTGTACTTTAATATCACTTTCAATATGCAGATAGGCATTAAAATAAAACATAGCAGAATCCAATACAAATAACATCAAGGGAAAGGGGTTTGAAACTTTTCCCCTTCTTCCTTCTTCAGGAAGAACTGGGAAGAGTAGTCAGGATGACTTTGCTAGGCAGTACTCTAGGAAATAGGGGGAATAAAGGTGCTGTTCCTGGACTAGACTCCAGTGTTCTCACCAGCTTCAATCTGTGAGTTCAACATGATTTTCTCTTCCCTCTCATTCACTCTTGCTGACTCATGTAGTCACATATTCCCTCATTCAAGTCAGCACTTTTCTACTCTTGACCCTGTTGCCTGAGCTGTTCCCTGCTTTCTATAGCAAAGGTGTTCTGTGCCTCCCCTTTCTCAGCGAGCTCACCAGGAAGAGTAGGGAAGCTTTGGTGCAATCCCACTTTCTCCTCCCCATCTCAGTTGCACGATTTCTCCCCAGAAGGATATTCCAAAAAGTCAGAAGCTGCCAGAAACTTGAGATCTATGTATAGACATTCTCTTTCAACCCTCCCAGCCTCCACCTGGAGTTCCAAAAAGCCATAGCATGCAGAGCAGTCACACCCCAGTAAAATATCTCAGCAGACAGGCTGAACCCGGTTAACAGTAACCAACAGCCCTCAAACATATCAGTGAGTTAGAGGAATGTACCCCAAGCACGTGAAGACATCTGCTGTTGAAATGGACAGATGAGAACAATTGACTCCAACAGCCATGAAAGTGGCTAAAGCAGACTCTGTGGAGCACTCAGAGCCTAGTCAGACACTGAAGACACCGAGGTCATCCAATGCATCCTGGGATGTCTCCCCACTGATTTTTGTCTCCCCATTGGACTTCCAGGACTCTGGAAGAGAGAGTGAAACTGATGACGTTGTGCAACTCCACCTCATTAAGCCAGTAAGAGTGGCCCACTTCCTGGACGTTAAAACAAAAGTAGCTCAGCCCTTTGCCTCTTCTTCCTAAGATACTCCATCTCCTAACTGGGCTTTTTCCCAGGCTGTCCCCCATGCTTGGAATGTTCTTTCTTCTCATATTTGCCTTCTGGCTTCCCTTACTTCCTGTAAGTCCCAGATAAAATTTTATCTTCTACAAGAAGGCTTTTCTGATTCTCCCTTAACACTACCTCCTTCCCTCAATTATTTTCAATTAATCCTATATATAGCATGTTTGTATGTAATTGCTTGTATACTATCTCCTCCATTAGACTGTAAGCTCCTTGAGGGCAGAGACTGTCTTTTGCCTTTCTTTGTATCCCCAGTTGACTCTCTGGATGAGGCAAATAATTCTTCCTTTCCCCACCTCCTTGACTCCCCTGCTCTACACACACAGCAATAGTAAACTTATATGGGGCAGCTAGGTGGTGCAGTGGATAGAGCACAGGACCTGAGTTCAAATTCAGCCTCAGACACATAACACTCAATAGCTGTGTGACTCTGGGCAATTCTCTTAACCCCAATTGCCTCATCAAAAAAAAATTAGTAAACTTTTAAAATGTGAAGTTAAGGTACATACGTGGGTTTGGAAGAGTTTGACACTTGGCCTTGGTACCCTGAATGCTACTTCTGTTTTATTTATTTTTTCCTGAGTATAGGTGACCAAAGAGTGGTCCTGAGATGGACATGTTCAGCCTTGGAGACAACCTTGTGAGTTCAAGAGGTCCAGAGATTCTTTGTTCCTTGATCAATGCTGATGGGCAGGGGGAGCCCTGGGTCAGAGAGAATAACCACCAACAAAGAGAGGTGCTCAACCCCTAGCCAGGCTTGTCAGAAGACATAGAAATAGAGGGAATTATTTGGATAGTGCAGAGATGAAATGAAATATGAAATGTTTCTTCAACAGCCCTATAAACTACATCATATCTTGATGTTTTAAGTATCACCCTCCCAGGAGACTATAATAACTTTTCTAAGTTACTGCTTTTCACTTAAACTTTTCTGTCCATGTGTATTTGTGGATCTTGTTTGTGTTTTGTGTAGAGGAAATAAAGAATTGACTTATACTTGATCCATATTCCAGATCGAGTATCTTTCTATTCTCTTACACTGGAGACACCCTAGACATGAATCAAACCTAAGCTTTAAGTCATTTTCCCTGGGGATCCAAGATTAGGTTATAAAAAGCCACTGTCTGTGACAAAAGGAGCCTGACTTCCCATGGGAGACCAGGCACCCCTAGGACTGAACCTGAATGCTGCATGCATGGACTTATGCATGCAGGGCTTCCCTCATGGAGAGGGAAATAATAGGGGAACCTAGCCCCTGGGACCCAGCAGCAGTTACTATTATTTGATTTTTATCTTGAAATGTTTGTGGAGTTTTTATGACCGTCAAGTTCACAGTTTTTAAAATGAGGAAAAAGAATAAGAACAAAAACAAAAGTAGATGAGTGTGGTTCCTGCCCAAACATAGTATAAAGCCTCAGGCATCATTAGTGGTGAAATAATTCATATGTACTCAAAATACCATAGCATGACTCCACTGAGATTTTTGTTAAAGTTTCAGTCTTCCTAATATGT